GTGGACAAGAGTCGCGCGCGACTTGGTGCTAGCGGCAACTAACCGGTCATGCACATGCGCCTTATGTACCAGTGGATCTTGTATCGCTATGTATCGAGCTCCTTCAGCGAACACTACCTCCACACGTTCGTCCCGACTGGTTCGGTGTCCCAAGAACGGTCGATTATAACCTTTCAATTAAAATGAAGTAGAAGTTAGATTACGCAATACCTGTCAGGGTGGATAAAAAGAAGAAGAGACGAGCTTTAATTAGGGATTATTTGCTTTATTGATTCATAGTTATTAGACTGCAGTTATTAGACAAATTTATGATGTCGTTACTTCCAAGTTTTATATATAAAATTAGTTTAGAAACAAATTTGTCACTTGGTGAAACTGAAAGAATTTGACCTACCAATCAGATTTGTCTTGTCTGCGTCTAAATAGTATAACAGTATGAAATTTTAGGTATCTCGTATTACCTAAGTAACTTTGTAAATACTTAGAATTCGCAGTCTGATAATTGTCTGAGTGCTTGGCTGTGAGATTGATACTCGCGAAAACTGATTGAATGGATTTGGTGGAGCGCAAAGGCCTCTCAGGTTGAGATTAGAATTTAGACCGTGTTTTGTCGTGGGAAAATGTCCTGTAAAAGGATGGACAACGGGACACACCCGTCGCACATATCGTCAAGTTTTAGTATGTTCGCCGCGAGAGTATTTTGCTCGTCGAGCGAGCGGCCACGGGTGCAGGATAATACGTACGTATGTACAGAACGTAGTTACGTACCGGGCATGCATCTTTATTACTGGCCGAGAACCCGTACGCGCGGCGAAAGTTCGATGAACCTTTACAGCTATGTATACGGACATGTACCCTTCTGATTGAAACTCTCCCAAGTGTATATTCGCTGAAAATCCATTGGGCCTCGGCAGTTCTCCTGGGAAGGGAACCGGTACTTGTTCAACACATTGTAACTAAGTTCTTCAGACTCGCTCGTTTACGGTGCTTTATGGTGCTTTATCTATTGGCCGACGGATATTCTCGAATACATCAGGTCGCAGCTTCTAAAACAGATGGTTCGTTTCAGAACTCTGCCGATCGTGGCAGAAACTTTTTGTTTCAATTGCGAAATATTTCGTACGGGGTCAGAAAGATGAATTTATTTTTTTCAACGTGTACATATGTAACAACGCTATAGTAACTTCGCCGAAACTAAACGTGAAACTTGGGGAAAAAATTTTAATTTTCGCGGCGCCAACGATAATGTGGACACGCGTAAAAAACTTGTATGTATGTATTAATATAACCGTAAAGTTTCCAAACAAGCCTGTACAACATATATTATTATCTATCGCAATGTTTAACGTGCCGTGCGTCTGTAGATATTCGCCGACTTATCACAGCCGACTTACCTCTTATCGTGTCACCTCGAATTCCGTCGAGTTCTCTCCGCGCTCGGGAGAGGTGCAGCCTCGATGGGAAATGTTGTGCGTGCGTTATAGGTTAAAAGATCGTTTCGTTTGTGGAATTCTCCTGTGGAAGAATTGTGATCGTTAAACATCGTATAGCAACGTATAGCTGTACAGGAGCAAGCATTTGGCGAAATGTTTCGGCAAATATTGGAGGTTCTAGGAGGGAGCTCGGTACAAGTACATACATACATACGCAGTAGTTACAAAAAGTATTTGTATATATTTGTATATATCGTCTCACCGAAGAAAACTTACATCTCATAGCCATACGGTGTTTCATCAGACCGTACGAAACTATTAGGATATAATTCAAAAATTGATTAAGTACTTTTTGTAACCAACGGAGCGAGTTCAGTTCAGCCCTGAAGAACTCGTCCGTCCTTCTCGCGATACTATCGTATTTCTAGATCATAGCGCTTGAGAATGTTTGACGCGCGTCTTCGACCGGCGTCCTTCGTTTCTATAATTATTATAGCGCGTGTGTTTCGTTAGCGGCTACCGTTTGTGCGTGTCCACGCGACGCGGCCAGATCGAGTTCATGCTCGTAAGAGAAGATACCTTGCCAAGGATGTCACACTTGCGGTTTCAACGCTGCACCTGTGCTGTTTGCCCAAAGACGTTCGCGTGCGCTCTCCCGTACTCG